GCGCTTCCACGCATGCGCAGGATGCATACAGCGCCTGCGCAATCCTCCAGGAGCAGCTGGAGCATCGCACAGACGCTAGTATGCATGCGTGCGCCACGCGCGTGCACGCACGCGCCGCACACGTGCATGAGGACGCCACACACGTGCACGAGGACGCCACCGGCGAGAAACCCACCCCTGCTTCAAAGCCTAAGGATTTGGACAAAACTCAGCAGCACTTTTTGTGTGGCTGTTGGTAAAAATAAGATCGCCAACATCTGATGACGGATATGGCACAAGAAGAGGAGTTTATGTTTTTACTGTTTGTAAGTTGATTAAAGTCATTGAGAGTGAGTAGGCGCCTATATAAAATTTCTAAACAAAGAAATGAATAAATAAATCTCCCAAGAACGCAACAGACCAAAAACCAGCAAAAGATGCATCTTTTTATACTCACGCTCCTCCACAATAGCTGCTTGCCTACGATGAAAACAAAACAAAAGGTGTTTTTATGTCTCATACAGCGTTTACTCAAATTTTACCAAAGAAACCACAGGATTAAATGCATGACCCTTCTCCCAGCCCCAGAGTCACTTCATTTAGGCTACACAACAATCCCAAGTACTGCTTGCTTCAGGTTTCTTAGCCAAAGCAGTGATGCCCCAGATCTTTCATTGGGGTCCCTAACCTCCCAGCCACAGCCCAGTGCCAGACCATGGCCCATTCAGAACTGCTTAACTAAGTGGAACCTGCCCTGCCATCGCCACCACTGGTCCACAAAGACAGAAACATCAGAGACTGTTGTCTTACACAATTGATTCTCAAATTGTGGCAGTTTTCTAAAAAGGAAGCTGTTCAGAGCAAACAATAACTACAACCCCACCCTACTTACTTCAGCCTTTGATGTTCGGCGAGTGCATCGTCGAAAGCTACAGAAAGGAAGCAAGCAAGAAAGAGAATGGTAACCATCTGCAGTGAGGAAGAAGAGCTAATAAAAGTGAAGTTTTAAAAAGTTCATTGGTTCTTCTCTCATCCAGATGCTTCCATTTAAAAAATCTATTCATATATATATTTAATGCAGTTATAGGAATTGCCATTAGAACCAGAGATGGGATTCAAAAATTTCAGCAACGGGTTCTCTGTCCAATTGCTGAGTGAGTGTGGCCATGGTAGGCGTGGCCTACTAGGTCTCCTGCACCATGGATGCGCCGTCGTTAAAACAAATTTAATACGGCACAGAGCTTCAGTAAAATGGTTCGGCTGAGATCGGCATATGTGGAACTGATTGGGGTAGATTGTAGGGGTGATACTGAAAGATAATTTTATCTTATTTTACTTATCTATATATTAAGTTGTATTTTATTCCAATTTCATTTTAAATTGTTTAAATTGTTTTTATAGGATTTTAGTAACAATTTGTGTTTGGAACTCTATATTTTTATAAAGTCTATGGCAGGGGTGTCAAACTTGAGTCTATGGGCTAATCAATAAACATAACTACAATTACATGTAACTCAGGTGAAATGTACATTGCTAATAAACAATGCTTGTCATTATATTTGAAATAAACATGTTTTTTTTTGTTATACTCCGAAATAGAAGCACTTGATGACTTCCTGTAAAGAAGAATGAAAGGGAGACATGGATGGGTTTAGCTATAGCTTATGTAAACGGTAATCTTTTAATAATCTGTAAAAATAAATTTGCATTCTCTGTAAGGAAAAGTTGTGTTTTGAAAGAGTATTGATGCTTTTGAACCTGAGTGTTGGAGAAGGCTCTGTTGTATCCTGCCAGCAGCCAGTGGAGCTGTTGGCAGACTCAGAGAGTGAGGAGGTTGGGGAGGAACTGATGAGGGCTCTGTGTCAAGGGCAGAGTGGGGGTCATCCAACAGTTATCAGCTGCCTTCAGAATTGGAGATCAGTTGGAGCCTGTTCCCAGTGTTTGCATGCACAGAGCTGCCAGGAGATGGGAACAGTTAAGGAACAAGGGCCGACTTGGGAGTAGAGGCACAGGTGGATGATGAATGACCCCTCCCATAGGGAATAAAGAGAAGTGAAAGGGGAGTGGAGTTTGCAGGAGGCAATTAGTTTGCTTAATTAGTGTGTAGATTTGTTCGTGACTCCCAGAGACTCCTTGCCAAGTATTTTCTTGTACAGCATGGCATTTGGAAGATATCAGCCTGGCAGCTCTCCAATCCTGATAAGGTCTGTGGTTGTAAATTCACCCTTGAAAGACTTGTTTGCTAGGACTTTGCTGGTTGTGAATGAGAGGAATTCACATTACCTTAACAAAAAGGGGTTTTGTCAGGACAAGGAGTCTGCTTCGTGATTTGGTGATGCCTAGGTCAGAACAACTCTTGAGAAGATCACAGATAGCCAAGAAAACAAACAAATGAAATCTAGAATAAATCAACCCTAAAGTGGCCCAAATATTTTGGATGTTGTTATGCTCGCTTGAGAAGTCTATAATGTGTGGTCCTCGTGCTGTCTCAGCTTTGTGGTTTTGTTGAAGACGTTTCATTACTCTACTGGGTAACATCATCAGAAGGGAGTGGGATTTACCTTTCCCAGATAGGTCAGTTGTCAATTTGCGCGTCTCTTTCCCATCAGTGAGGTCCAGGGTGTATTTGCCTCGGTCGGACTCCTTGGGATCAAGGATGTGCAACCAAAGCTGGTCCACGGTTGTTCCTATCTTCAAGCGATCTCCTCCTTCTAGACGCTTGTCACTGAAGGTACAGCAGGGGAGGAAGTCGTCAGTTAGTACACAGCCTCTAAACTATAATTGTCCAAACATGGCAACTCTAAGACCTCATCTGTGGACTTCATCTCCCGGAATAATAGGATTATTCTTCTAAAAGAAAAGAATCTGAGTGACTCCATATTTACACTTTCCATAACCTTGGCAGCTCATCTGTAAAGCATTAAGGTAAGCAATTACCGTATATACTCAAGTATAAGCCGAGTTTTTCAGCCCACTTTTTGGGCTGAAAAAAGCCACCTCGGCTTATAC